GGTGATTGGCTGACACTTCTGCAATAAAGCAAGAAAAAATAGAGCTTCTTTGTAAGGTTGACCTAGTGTGTACCTGACCTTTTTATGTTGTTAACTGCCCTATCATCTTCAGATGAAGGGTGGTATACAAATTTTAATAATAATGGCACCTAGATTATATCCCACTATTTTCACCATATAATCATCATCATCATCATCATCATCATTTGGGTGGCTTACAGCACATATAAAAACATAGTAAAAGTCAAACATTAAACAAAATCCCCAGTACACGGCTTCACTTATCGCAGTGTGAGAACCACCAGAAGGCCCTCGGAGCTGGACCTCAGTGTCTGGGCTGAGCGATGGGGGTGGAGACGCTCCTTCAGGTATACTGGGCCAGCACCATATAGGGCTTTAAAAGTCAGCACCAGCACTTTGAAATGTGCTCAGAAACATAGTGGGAGCCAGTGAAGATGCTTTAGGACAGGTATTATATGGTCCCAGTGGCTCCCGAATCACCAGTCTAGCTGCCACATTCTGTATTAGTTGTAGCTTCCAAGTCACCTTTAAAAGTACCTCCACATAAAGTGCATTACAGTAGTCCAAGCGGGAGATAACCAGAGCATGCATATCAGATGGAGCTGGTAACTGCCCTGGACACAGAATTGACCTGTTCTTCCATGAACAGCTGTGAGTCTAAAATGACTCCCAGGCTGCTATAGCATTCACTTCTTTACTTACAGGAATGTGTACCTCTTTCCTTTGGGGGGCAGATCCCAGCCCCAATTACTTGTTTTAGGCACTCAGAGGTCCATTATCTAGCTCAGCTCAGAGATGATACTGTGCTATTTAATCCTGCCCACTTTAGAAATCCATTAGGAGACTTACCATATCACAATTACCATAGTAAGTCTTATTGCCATTGTCAAAGCACAGCATCTGCAGATGGACACCATTTATAGCCTCTTCTCATAGCTTTTTTATTATTTTGGAATGAGTTGCATCATCTTCTGCTTGATACCATGAACCAAACCTCCCACTGCAGAGTATGTATGGGAAATAGCATTGCAGTCAATTTCATTAACATAGGAACATAAGAAGAGCCAGCTGGATCAGGCCAATGGCCACCTAGTCCAGCATCCTGTCCTCATAATGGCCAACCACATGCCTGTTGGGAAGCCCATAAGCAGGATTCGAGCACAAGAGCCCTCTCCCCTCTTATGTTTTCCAGCAACTGGTATTCAGAAGCATTCCTGCCTCTGCACATGGAGTCAAAGCATTGTAGCCATGATCTGAATTATAATCAATGGCTGGTACATTTAACATTTTTCTTTCGTATATGGGCTTAATACTTATCTGTTTGAATAACATCCCAGAAACATTTGATAATTGGCAACTTTAAAAAAAACCACAACCCAAAAGATAAAGTGCCCAAAGTGAAGTTCTAATTTCTGCTGACTAATGACCCAGCACATGCATAGCACTCTTTGTAGTGTGATCATGCTCTCATCTAATTAACACTTTGCTATCTGTCATCTAACATCCTTCTTTTGCCTGTGTCTTTGAATTAAGTAGGTCACTGGCCACACAGGCTGTGCAAAGACAGTATCAGATGTTGAGTCTGGTGGCACAGAGCCTCAACCTTTTTCCTATTTCATTGACAATTTAAATCACATAGAGTTTTTAAAAATCCCTAATTTGGATACCAAGCCTAATGCATTTCTGAGGCGTAAGCTTTCATCTGTCCAATGTCAGGGCAATTCTGTTGTTATGGCCAATTGCCCAGTTCCATAGCACACAAAACACCAGGCTGCACTGACTCATAGGAAATACAGAAGGGCATAGTAAGTGACTATATCCTACACCTGTCCTTGGCTGCTCTTATTTTACAGTTCATCAAGTACTCATTTATTTTATGGGGTTTTTCCTCCATTATTTACGCCTTCTCCTTTGCACAATCCGAGCACCTGTATTCTCTGTTATCCTATCTAGAAGTTGAAGATGGATGGATAAATATCAGTCCCCTTTGCAGCATAAAATAATGTGACTGATGAAGTGACCTGTTAATGAGTTTGAACTTCTAATATTTCATAAGGCTGTCAGCAAACTCAGACAAAATATGCATGATGAAAGTATGTCTTTATAAAGGTTGACACTCTATTCTATTTCATGGAGAAAGAAAATGACTGTTGCCTTTTAACACATAATAACCATCACTGCAATCTGCATATAGATTGTATGAGACACCTCTGTGTTTGAAACATACACAAGCTATAATCATTGTTATTCATTTCGAAAATCCAAGGCAGCTTTAAGATGGAACAGATTCACAAATGCATTAATCTGTATGACTGCACCACTAAGTGACCCAAATCCAGCTCTAGATGCAGGCAGCTAGTTGTATGTAGGACCACTAGCAGCCCACGATGGGAATAAATCACACGAGTTGCATCAAAAGCCACATCCATCCAACTCAGTGGGACTCAGATCAACGTCATAATGCAGTTGGACACGTTAGCCGCACATGCAAAAGATTGTTTCCATGCACATATCTCCCTTGCAGGAGCCGATTAACAAATGATTAACAAATGAATGATTAACAAATGAGCACCTGAACTGCTTCCATCAGCACATATCAGGTGATATCCAGTTAAGTCATAGGCTGTGTACGCATCATAAATTTACAGCACACTTAAAGCATATATACGCAAAGAATCTGAAAACTGTAGTTTGCACCTCCTTGGCATCCATTTGTCTCAAGAAACAATGGAGTGCATCTCTAGGGTCAAACAGCTGCATTAGAAGCACCGTAATGACCTTTCCAGGATGTAAGCCTGGGCAGTAGGTGTGGAGGTCCTGGGCTGCCCAGGTGACAAGACCCACTTTGAAACCACCCTTTGAAACTCTGGGTATCGCATGATTTATAGGGATTCCTAAACGAAAGATAAGAAAAGTTTGTCAGGATGGTGAATGGACTTTTAAAGACTTTTAGTATCCAAGACAGATGTTGTACGGAGATTTTTCTTTTTAATGATTCCAGAACAAATCTGAGTGTGCCTCTTTACAAAAAGTTTTATTGAAATGTATCATGCATGCTAGTAAAATGTCAAGGTTAACCTCACCTTTAAATTATGCAATAGTTAGTACAAAAATTGCTATTTATAATGTTCTCATTAATCTTAATTGTGTAACCTGCTATGATATGAGACACCTCCACCCTTTGCAAACTAGCACTCTGAGTCAGTGTCAGTACAGTGAGGATTTTTTAGAAGAAGAAGATCCTTCTGAAATTCTCCTAAGCCATGGTAATAATTTGTATTTAGCCTACATAATGCAAAAGTGGAGCATGATAGAACATTAGCAAAGTTGCTTCCCACAGCCTGCTCTTCCATAATTTTAGGGTGTACAACTGCCAGGTAGGGGAGATGGCAGACCAAGTCACTGACTGATGATGACGAAAGATGAGTAAGGCTTGATCAGTTACCAAAAGCTACATAATGAATGAGAGACTAGGTAGGTTGGTCTGCGGTGTCTGCTGCAACTAGGACCACCTCATTATGTCAGTGTAGCTGGGCTGGTTGCTGGGGCCCTGCAAGATAGGTTACTCAGACCCATCTATGCACCCACAATTCCCAATAAGTGAACAAGGCACTCCCATCCTTTTTGATGGGTAAAAGGAACCCCACAGAGCTCCCTTTCCACAGCATTTAGGATAGCTGGGTTATGCTTTGAGGAGGAATAGGTGGGCAATGGGGCAGGAACAACTGTCAGCCAATGCCGAGATGAAGGCAAGAGGCAAGAGAGAAACAAGCCCTTCCCAGAAGTGGTCAGATGGTAGTCACAAAGGTAATTCACTAGGCAAATCTACCAGTGACTGAGAGGAGGTAGCTTCCTTTTCCACACCAGGAGGTGGCAGCGGAGGGAGAGTCAACATTGTGTCAGATGACTGTGTGGCCATCTTTTCTGACATGAGTATCTGTATCTGTGCCAGGCTCTTTAAATCATTGTCTTGTTGACCATCAGAACGCAAGAAAACATATAAAGCCATTGCTGATTGCTGCTGACATTTTAAGTCTCAGAGCTGATATAACTCCTTCTCGGTGGGGATGCCGAAAAGTTAAAAGTGTTTTTGGAACAAGTTAGATGCAATTATCTTATATCTAAGATAATTGACTGTGATGTCTCCCACGTAACTTCAGTTTATTATCTTTTTTCTAATGGATATTAAAAGACTTCGTCACGCTCAACTAATATAGAATTAATTGAGAAATTATTAGCCACAGCAATGGTCAGTATGTTCCAGAACAGAAAGTGAAGTTAAGAACATTAGGTTAAAGGCCCATCTAGTCCAGCATCTAGTTCTCATAGTGACTAACCAGATGACTATGGGAAGCTGCAAGCAGGATGCGATTGCAAGAGCACTCACCATCCCCCATGACTCCCAGCAATAGGGCTACAAAGGTATGCCGCTACCAACAGTGAAGACAGAACATGGCCATCATGTCTACCTGCCACTGATAGCCTTTTCCTTCATGAATTTGCCTGATCCACCCAAATTGGTGGCCATCACTCACTCATTGCATCCCGAAGTTGCAACTGAGAGATAGCCAGGACTTTTTCTTTCAGGGGGGACTCAACGGAACTCAGCTCCAGCACCTCTCAGGTGAGTTCCAGCAGCTCTCAGGTGGGTGCCATTGCCCTTCTAAGAGAAAGAGGGGGTCGTTCATGGTGAGTTCCAGCACCTCTTTTTCTAGAAAAATTGCACTGGAGATAGCCCAGCTAACATTGCGCCCACACACAGCATCCCTCCCTCTACCTTGTGATAAAGTTTCCAGGGCAATTACTTCAAGGATTCTCTGTGCCTGTGTCCAGTGCTGTACTAGTTGCGGCAGGAAATCCTAATGTATCCTTTGCTGCTGGAGAACTTCTGCACACAAAGGTAGAGTGAGCTCTGATACACATGGGCTTCCTATACAAGGGGGCATAGATTCATGGATGCATCAAACATGGTGACTTTGTGTGTGTGTGTGTGTGTGTGTGTGTGTGTGTACAGAGAGAGAGAGAGATTTCTAGAAGAAAAGCACTGTGTACACACACACACACACACACACACACACATGGATAGCATTTGTAATATGCTTCACAAGCATGTTCCCCACGCCCCACCTCTCCCTTTGATCTTTTTCCACTTTCTTTTTGTAAAATCCTTCTAGATGTGAATTGCTGGGAAATGGCTATGGAAAGGGGCTCAAGCCCCCATACTCTGCTTGTAGGTTTGCATTTCCACTCTGATTGGCTATGGTGGAAAATGGAATGCTGGACTAGATAGGCTTGCAATCTCATCCATAAGGGCTCCTCTTTTTTAAAAAAAAATATGAAAATGGAAGATTATTGAAATGATCATTTATATTAAAAGCATCAATTTTGTCTTCAGAAAAGAAAAGAAAAAGCCCATTTCTGTCCATTATTTAAATTCCAATTTTGGGCTCAAAATAGAACCTTTCTGGCACAGCATTACTGTGAGGCTCCTAGCGGGATTGCATTATTGGATATCTATCTTAACAAAGAAGTGGCAGGATTATGAGATAGATGCTATTACACCTGGGAAAGCGATGGTCCTGTAGAGCTCCAATGCTGATAATCAATTGAATGTCAGCTATGATCAGCGCTACCCTGATAATGTAAGTAAAGAATGTCATCGGAATATAGATGCTCTGATGGTATGCAATTACTAAGACAGCGCAAACTGGCAACTTCATGAATGGAAAATGCAAACCGTTCCCCACATTGTAGCAGCTTTTAATTATCAGTTATCTCTTGTACAGTGAAATATAGAGAAATCGATTCAGGTAGCTTCTAAACCATGGTAAGAACAGCAAGTCTTTAAAATTACTATCTTTTTCCTCCCTAGCAAATAGTCATCACACTTTCTTTAATCTGATCTTTTCTGAATTTTGTATTGGACTGCAATATGGTTCCTTCTTTTCTTTTCACAGGAAATATCAAAGTCCTAGGACAAGTTGAAAAATCAGTACATACTGATCCTACTAGATGAGATCAAAAGTCATGCTAGTTCAGCATCTTGCTTCCTACAGTGGCCAACTAGATGTCTCTGGCAAGTCCACAAGCAGGGCTAAAGGGACAGGTGTTCTGTTGTTCCCTAGCAACATGCTGCTTTTGAATCTGGAGGCTTCATATAGCTATCATGACTGATAGCTATTGAGATATTTACCCTCTGTAAATGTGTCTAATCTTGCTTCAGATGAAGGGTCACAGCTCAGTAGCAGAGCATCTTATTTGCATGCAAAGGGTCCCAGATCCAAGCTCAGCATCCCAAGTAGAGCTGGGTGGGAATGTCTTGTGGGCACTGCGGCCAGTACTGAACTATATGAACCAAGGATTTGACTTGGAGTAAGTCAGTTTGTGGTATTCTTCTGTTCTCCTTTTAAAGCCATCTAAGCTTGTAGTTATCACTGCACCATGTGACAGTTCATACCTCAGAAAACTGCCAAGAGGACTCTGCCATCTTTGGGAGCAGCATTTTGAGTGGCATTGAGTGGAGATAGAGCCAGGCATGAGAAACCCATGAGGCCCATTACACACAATCAAATTCCATGCAGGGCCCCTAGGGACTGCTGATCTGCTGTATACAGAGGGTTTCTCAAAATACCATAATCGTAATTCGGTTTTATTGATACTCCAAATGTGTAATGTTGAAGCAGCTCTTTCATAATTGAGGAAGCAGCCCTGCACCTGTTAGAAAACCTGCCAAATCCAGGTTACTTCTAGTGAGTCAATACTCATTTGCAGTCAACACTTATCTTAATTAACCCTGCATAATTAACACAGTATGTGAGAAATTCCTAGATAAGTGGCAGACTGAAACTTATCATATGCATAAGTTGGCAGCTAATAAATTGAAAAGGTGCCTTAATTGATATATGGGTCCCCATGGAGGCTATTAAACATATTATAAGGAGAGCAGGGTGTTTAGGTGTACTACTGATACTTAGATAAACCCCTGTATCCATCAAAGAGGGCTCTGATGTCACAAAAATCTGTAGCAATCAAGGATGATAGCAGGTCTGTACTTTTGGAGCAAAAAAAACTCTGTAAGAAGCATACCTTCTTCAGAAGAATCACTGCAATGGGGGGCTTCTCCCCTCCCAAGAACATCTCCCCTCCCTCAATAAAAACAATCAAACAACAATAAACTCACACGAATTAAAAAGAGTTAAAACACTTGTAGCAGCAAAGCGATCAGATTATCCATTCCTGACTGAGAGAAGAAGGAAAAGGTTGCTGTAGGAAGCCCTGTGCCCCATATGGCTGTTGTTGCCCCATTTTGTGGGTGTTTTCACCATAGCCTTTTGTCCAGCATTTGGTCCAAAAATTAGAATCAATGTGACATGAAAAATGAATTCCCTACCTACAGTCTACCTTCTCAGGATTCTACACCCTCATTACTATATATTATAACAGGGATTATATTTATTATATTTTGCTGCGTTTGTTAGCAGTAAGCCTGAGGCTCCGCCCTCAACCTAAAAAAATTTATGTGGCAAACTCACTACCAGACTTTGACATGGTATCCCTGATATATACCTATTCCATCATAGGATGAGAGGTTTGGGGGCAGGTTTATATTCATTTTTAAGCTATTTAACTGGGCACGAGCAGGGTGAAACGAGCTGCCAGTTCATCGACAAAAGCAAAAAGTCAAAGAAAAGTGCTGTTATTTTAATCAAATAATTATCTAAGGCTTCTGTGTGTGTTTGAAAACTTAGAACCACTGCCCTTAACTCGCCACAGTTCCTAAATTAGAGTGCTATAAAGGGGGGGGGGTGCCTTAATGTACAGTATCACTGGAATCAACATTTCAATTGGTCCCAGCTGCTATCCTCATGTGAACTCTGTTTTTTGCATTAGTAATAAATTTTGCATCAAGCACCTGGAGAGAAGGCCCATTCAGCATTCTGGGAGTGGAAAGGGGAGTAACCTTCAAAACTCCTGGCAGTGGGGTTTCCCCCACCCCCCTCTGCTGCTGTTTCCTGCATATGTTGGTATGATTATATAGATTCTAGAAGATAATCAACTGCTACTTGATATTCATGAAGGGAAAATGTGTTTGTCCCAGAATTTATACCTAATGGTTTAATAAGAGCCACTGCTGCAGTATTATAGCTGAATTGTTACAGAATGGCATATTTATTGTTGGGTCTTAAAGATATGAGAATGCACACTTTAATTAGGCCATCTACTAAGTGTTTGCTGAAGGTGTGTGGGGGTTGTTATTTCCCCAAATTTCCTGTACACTGAAATATATTTTTCCTTTTCATGACAAAAGTCAGAGTATTTCATGTCAAATGTGCATCTCTCTCTCACCCAGCCCCCAATACATTTTTACTGAAATCCTTTCTGATACCTCACTGATGATGGCAATGAAGTTAGTGCTGGTTCCAGATAACAACAATTACTGGGGAACAATTGTTGCCATGTTACAGACATTAAAGACATCTGTGACACATCTGCTAAGTTTTCTGAGAGGAAAATCACTTGCATCCATCAGGATTTATATTCCAACATTGGTGCTGACGATCCTAGTGAGGTGTCTGAGCTTCTTGCCCAGTGTTCTTGCCTAATGTTGTTGGGTGAATCTCAGGCACAACCACTTGTTTCTTGGACCGTTGCCCCTCATGGCTTGCAAAATCTGCCAGAGAGGGAGCGTAGGGATAGACTTGTTGTTGTTTAGTCGTGTCCAACTCTTCGTGACCCCATGGACCAGAGCACGCCAGGCACTCCTGTCTTCCACTGCCTCCCGCAGTTTGGTCAAACTCATGCTGGTGGCTTCGAGAACACTATCCAACCATCTCGTCCTCTTTCGTCCCCTTCTCCTTGTGCCCTCAATCTTTCCCAACATCAGGGTCTTTTCCAGGGAGTCTTCTCTTCTGATGAGGTGGCCAAAGTGTTGGAGCCTCAATTTCACGATCTGTCCTTCCAGTGAGCACTCAGGGCTGATTTCCTTAAGAATGGATAGGTTTGATCTTCTTGCAGTCCATGGGACTCTCAAGAGTCTCCTCCAGCACCATAATTCAAAAGGGATAGACTAGGGAGGTAATTAATGCGTTCCTCCTATAAGGAGTAGCCTCAGACTGCCTGACAGAGCCTTCTCTGCACTCAGAATATCTTATTAATTTTAGTCCAGTAGCAAAATCCCATTTCTGGGTTAGATTAGTGAATGGTTGGTTGCCTACCAGATCCCCAATACTTTTGGAGGAGACAGCTGGAAAATTTGGAGAAGGCAGAAACTGTAAGAGTGAAAACACTTTGGCAGTCACTCCCCCCCCCAAAAAAAATCATGGGCACTGTAGTTTACCCTTCACAGAGCTACAATTCCCAACACCCTTATCAAGTTACAGTTCCCAGCATTCTTTGGGAGAAGTCACATGCTATAATAATAATAATAATAATAATTTTTATTTATATCCCGTCCTCCCCAGCCGAAGCCGGGCTCAGAACGGCTAACAACAGTAAAATGATAAAACATTATAAAACCATTTCATTATAAAATTAATTCCAATCAGATTAATGGCAACCATTGGGCTAGTGTTCTGTGAGGATTGCCAAAGGAGGGAGTCAGGCTGTGGCCTGGCCAAAGGCCAGGTGGAACAGCTCTGTCTCGCAGGCCCTGCGGAAAGATGTCAAGTCCCGCAGGGCCCTAGTCTCTTGTGACAGAGCGTTCCACCAGATCGGAGCCACAGCCGAAAAAGCCCTGGCTCTAGTGTTTTAAACGTATGGTGTAGATAAAAGTGCTGTTACCGGCATGAGGTATCCAAATGTTGGCATGAAAATTCCTTGCCTCCTGAAAAACACACCAATTTCAAGCCAATTTTTTTTTTGCATTGTAACTATGAGCTGATCAGTGCTTACAATTGCTGACTTCCAAACTAAGGGGCTTATACCCGTCACCAGTGATCCACATGAAACACTCTCTATTGTTCCTTTTGGTTCGTGCTGAAAATCTTCCTTTTTCAAAAAGAGAGGTGGGTTTTTTCCCCCTAGTGTGTATCTCTATCAAATTTGACATTGTTTTTAACTGACATTTAATTTGTTAAATCACTTTTATG